CATCTGCCATCCTGGCAAGCGCAGCTGAGCGGTAGCAAACGTTGGGTGTTAGCACCGCCTCCAGAATGTTATTTTAAGTGCAAACAAATGGATGTAGTAGTTAATAAGGGGGACATAAGTAAGTATATTTTGTAAATAAATATATATTTGTTGGAAATATGATTTCATTACATATCAACAAACTAGTTGTGCTGGATACCAATAAATGGTATCATCAAACATTTGTACAACCGGGTCAAGTAAGTCTAACGATTGGAGCTGAATATGATTAAAGGATAATAAACTGATATTGTTAATAATGTATTTAATACAAATTTGTTTTTAATTTAATTTAGTTTTTAATTTTATTTAACAAATAAATTTGTTAAATACTGTATATTGTTGTGTATGATATGTATGTCACAAACTAAATGAAAATAAATATTTATTGCAAAAAATTTATTATACATTTAATAACTATTATTATATGTTATTGACTTATAATTTTATATACAATAATTAAGTTCTTTTTATAGAAAAATTCAGTTTCTCATACTTTCTTTAGTTGCCAACAAACTTTCTAACAATTTCTCAGCCAACTCGTGCGCTTTGAGATTGTTATCAGCTGTAGTGCATTATCATCACTGGGGCATTAGCCGGCTAACAACAATAACACCTGTCATTGCACATTCGAACGTCATTTCTATTGCATTGTAATCCGCACATTGAACTTAAAAAAATGGTGCAAGTTTTTTCCTTTAAATGTTTTTGATTTTGTATTAGAAATTCCAGCATTGACCAGTCGAAACTGGACCACAAAAGCTTTCGGGATTGAACAAAAAGTGCTTCCAACGAGTTTGTCTTGTACAAAGAAATTGCACAAATAGAGTTTGATTTACGACATTTTTGAATAACTTGGTATCTGCAATTGTCTACACGATCGGACAAGTCTTTTTTTCATTTTTTTATTGGACGGAGTTCAGCTCCGTTTAGTTAACAGCAAAATTTGTTGTCTACGCAAAAATGCACCAGTTTTTATTGTAATTACTTAATATTACAATTATTATCAATTTACGTTTGTACACATATGTACCCGTCCGGACCCCGGACTCCGGACTAGTGAGTATATCGTCACGTGGTTAAGATGATGGCCTTAACACGCGACGCGTTTTGCGAGTTGCAACAATCTTACATTTTAGGAAATTTTTCATTTAATTCGATCGAAAAAACCTTTTTGGCTTCAGTGCAGACAACTTAAAGCCAATCTCGTTTGGTTTCTTCTCTGCACGAATGTGAATTGTTGCTAAATTGAATGTTTCAGGTGATTTAATTAAATGTTGTAAGTGATATGATTTAACTTCGTTATTACAAGTATGGAAATGCTTCATTTGGTGTTATGTTACATGCTCAAATTAAGTTGTGAAATATTTAAGAAAACAAAAAAAATTAAAGAATCTTACTAAATATTACTATTAACAGTTAAATATTAAGACAAAACAGAACTTCTTCGATATGAGCAACAATAAGTGATAATTTGTACAAATGTGGAAAGTCTTAGGAGTACAACTTAACCAAATGAGAATTAAAATACGGTAGCAAATACATTATATATATTGCACATACATATTATTAATAGAGTTTAAAAGAGTTATTCACTTTTACTTGTATTTATCATTCAGAATATAGTAAATACATTTTGAAAAACTTCATTCGATAAGTTTAAAAATCAAACCTCGGTTTGTATATTTGTAAGTTTTTTTCAATTTTTTGCTTTAATAACCATAATTGTTATACTTCTTTAATTCAATTTTCAAGAAACAAGGGAACCCATTAAATAATGGAAAATGGAAGTCAGATTTTAATATTAACTTTTTGTCACTTCAACTCTAGATAATTCTCTTAACATCTTACTTAAATAACAATAATAGCTGTACGTCTATAAAACGATTTTCAAGGAAATAATGGAAGCGATTAAATAAAGAAAAATCGGAGAAAGATTTTAATATCCACTTACAGATAAAACGTAACTCTTTGTCTCTTCAACTTTAATTAATTTTCGTAATTTCTTGCTTTAATAACAATATTTGCTGGATCTTCTTAATTTGATTCTCAAGAAAACAATGGAACCAATTAAATAATGCAAGTCGCATTATTAGATTATCGAAATGAGATGGGTGGGACTCTGCAGAAACCCCCTAGCTATCAAAGAGTAAAAGTGCCCAGATGCACTAACTCGGGAAAGGCTCAACATAATA